GAACAATCATATCAATATCCATTGAACTCAATGCACGATTAAGCATACGATATAAAAATGCATCCCATGTGTACCACCATATAGGTATGTTGTTTTTGTATGTTGTTAGTAGTTGATTAACATTTTTTAATTCATTTTCATCATCAGAAAATACTTCACGACAATAAGTAATAAATTCGTTAATATATTTGTCGTCGAAATTGATTGTCAATAAGATCTCTTTCAAGATATGAGTATACATGAATGACGGATCTAATTGCTTCAAGTTTTTATTTGATGCCACAAAACTAATGGAAATGGCATTTTGCTCACATTGTTGAGCAGCTTGTTTAAGAGCTTCACATATTAGTGTCATATTTGTGAAGACTCCTTTTATTTTAGGCCATTTTTTAGCCCATTGTCTATGCCATTCCTGGTTGTTACAAAAAACAAGAATTGTATCTACTTGAAACATATCATGCACACGAGGTACAATGTCTTGCCCAAGTGAACCAGAAACAACCATACATACTTTGTTATTACTAATGGTTTGAATAAAGTTAACACATTGTTCACCATCTGTAAACGTGTTTATATTGTTAACTGCACCTTTCAATTGCTTAATTGTATCACGACAATCAGTATTATTATCATTACTTTTTGCATCCAACCAAATTAATAGAACATTTTGCATCCTTTGCATATTGAGACGTCCATTTGCATTTGTAGTCATGGAATGACCAGATGTTGAGTCAACTTGGAAAAATTTGCGAATAAAAGAATTATTAAAACAGCTTATTTTATAGTGTTTCTACTTCTTATCGAGAGTTTTTTTTTCAATTTTTTGAATTAGACGACAATACTTTTTTTATTTATACTTGTAGATGTTATTATGAAAAAGAAAGAAAGATCAACAAAGATATTCTTTAGTAAAAAACAAAGAATGAAAAAGAAATGATTTAGTAGTTTTGCGATTGACAGTCACTAAAAGTATTCCGCGAAAAAAAACACAATCTTAATGGATTTCTTTTCGTTCTGCTCTCATGTTCAATGCTGTAGAAGATTCGAAAGTTGGAAGTAGTTATATTGTTGCAGACATTATACTCTGTAAAAATTGACAAGAGAATGTTTTTCAAACACAACGCACTTATATGAAACACGAAGAAGAATGTTTAGATTCATTGTTATTTTTCGTTCTTTTAGATTTGGTTGTTTGTTTTTACTCAACAACAACGTATAAAAACGTTAAAACGAGGTCGTTGCAAAAAATTAGATTTAAAACAGACGAACGAGAAAAAAATACAGTGATCGTTACTTTTCTGGCTAGGCAAATAAAACTGATGGAAGAGAAATGGACAATAAATCAATTTTATCAAAAAATCAGGTTTTATCTTCTTTTTTTTTACATTTCGAAATAATTAAAAAGAAAAGAAAAAGCAAAAGTTAAGTGCCATGTTCTCAAGCAAATATTTTACGGCTGAAAGAGTAGCTGATATTAGATACGAAATCAGCTAGCTAGATAATCAAAACAATAGATCATCAACGTTCTTTCAAGATATATTAGTTTAAATTCTCGATTTAGATGAACTCATTGATTGAGTTTATAGCGTCATGTGTACTTTGACTCCATTTTATGATAATTATGAATGTTGAGAAATTTGTTAAAATCTTGAACTCATGATTTCGACATTTTGTTATTTTCGTTTTGATTTCCTCGATATGAGAATATGTTTTATTGACTTTTTGTTTCTTCCTTCGCACGTTTCATGTATTTCAATTGTTCTATGTGCGAGGTCAAAATTGATATTACTGCACGTGCTGACTGTTTAAGAATAAGTGCAATTCATTTATGATAATAACGACAATAATGATTACTCACAACGTAAACTAGATTCTTAATTATTAAATATTTTATATCGATTTAAAACTGCTAAAATAAATAACGTCCATAAACAAATGAATAAAAATCTAAAGCTTCTATATATAGAACTAATAATGAAGTAGCAGATTTTCCGGAATCTTCTGATTATTTAATGAGAAACTATGTTACGATTGTATCTTTCATGTTCAGTTTATTAATTTACTAGAATTTTAAACATTATTCACTCCGTCGATGGATAACGACAGGATAAGAAAACACAAAAGTATTATTGTAATAAGACGAAAGAATACATTATAAATTATTCGTGTGTTTGGTCACGTGACGAAAATTCACTTAATTCCAGTCTGAAATGTGCCTAGATGTGAATGACGACGGTAGTCTATAGACATTCCTGAATACTGTAAGAAGAACAAAAAACATAATACATACAACGAACGATGATTCTAACAATGACTACGTAGTTATAGAGAAAAAAGAAAAAAAATGCACCTTGCCCAGTACTATTTAAATTCACGTGATAACATTATTCTACAAGAATACAAACAAGTGCACACATCACTCCAGTAGCTGTAAAAATCGGTCAAACTTCTATTATATAGACATGAATCCACTACATATGCATGATATTATTGATGTAAGTACATATATTCATCTTTTCGTAAATTAAATATGAAATTGTGTTAGATGAGCCAATGAAAAAAATAATAAATTGAAGTGAATATGAAGATTTAGTTACAATTTGATAGTAGATTCTATTTCTATCCATACAAATGAAATATTCATAAATGATAAATAATAAATAGAATGATTATATTGACTGAAATAGGTTGCAAGATGATTAGTAATACGTCGTAGTGCGTTTTCTTCCTAAGAAAAAAGATATGATTAAAAATCTATATTATTATTTTTTTTTAGACTGTGAAAGATGCTTTACTCCTTCCATTAGGAATCGAAGGTCATTCTTTAGGATCTGATCCAATAACACATAAAAGTAATATTAATTTCTTTCTTTCAAAAATATAAAAACAAAATCTATATTTTTCAGAAATGAGAGCTGAACAAGCAAGTAGCACATCTAATAATGCATCATCAAATCAATCTACATCTACTGCGTCATCAAATCAATCCACAGCTACTGCATCATCAAATCAATCCACATCATCAACTAGTGCACAAACAGATACACCTGATGATAAATCCGAACAACATTCTACCGAACCAATAAAAACAGAAAAATGAAACGATTAGATTTATTGAATTGATTTTGTATATATTCTTATTTTAAATATTTTTTTTGAAAAGAACAGAACACGCAAATCCAATATAAGACAAAAATGAAAATTATTATTATTTATGATTAATTGTATCAATCAGTTGAAGTGAATGCCAATGAACATGTGGTCGATTCGGTGATGACAATGTATCTGTCCAATGTTGAAAAATTTGTTGATTTTTAACTTGATTTGAACCAAATTCAATTGATGATATTGGTTTATTATGTGAACCTAATAATGTTTTTCGATAACATATTGTTATACGTATTGATGTTTTATGAAGTAAAAGATATTCAAAATGAAATGATGTACTAAATGTAAAAACATTTTTATCGATTGGTATTGCTTTAGATTTTCGTTTTCCTGTTATTTTTCCTTCAACAATTGTACAAATTTTTATTTGAATTAAATCTAGAAACAAAATAAAAGAAAAGAAATATTTATTTAATGAAACAAAAAAGAAATAATCTATTTACCACGATGATGGGAATGACCAATTGGAAGTTTAAATAAAGATTGTATACCAACTATTTTTATTAAACCAACTTGAAGTAAACATCGATCATTTTCATAAACTAAACAAATTAATGCACGAGCTTCATTTTCCAAGATTACCTTAACAAAAACAAAAAAAGGGTAAAGTTAAAAAAATCTAATAGAACTTCAATTCCTATAACCTGCTGTTGTGTTATCATATCAATACGATCTTCATCAATTTGAATAGATTTAATATGTTGTTCACTTGCAGTTAATCCACCATCATAATGATGTCCAGTTCGTATCATTAAACTATCATATTGATTAAGTATAAGACTCGTATGACCTAATTCAATCCGTTTATCATTTTTATGATGTCCTAAAACATGTATTTTTAAATAACTTTGTTCTAAATCATATTGATTTATATCAAATTTAAATATTTCATTAATTGGATCTTTTTTTGAAAAATATTTTTTATTTTTACGTTTATCATTATTTGTATATAAACGTATTTTACAAATAAGTGATGGAAAACAACGTTCAATTAATGGTTGTATTGCAACTAAACGTATTAATTGAAATGATAATTGATTATCATCAATTGAATAATGTAATTTATAAATAAGTTCAATACGAAATAATTCTGTAAGTGAATATTCAAATGTTGGTGTTGGTAATGATTCATTATCATCTTGTTCATCTGAATCAGATGAATTTGCAACGGAAACTAATTCAGAATTAATTGGTTCAAGTGAACGTGTTAAGATTGGTGATGGTGTTGAACGTTGTTGAACTTGTTGAATTTTCGATTTTATTGTTTCAAATGCAAATGATGGATATGAACGACGTTGATTTGAACTTGTATATGATGAATCAGATGATAAATGTCTTTGATATTTTTTCGTTATATTAAATGTTTTATAATTTGATGGGGTTTCAGATAATTGTGATGATATTTCATTTACTGTTTTCATTGATATTTCATTATTACTCAATTTTGTTAATGGATAAACAAATTGATTTGTTGGTTTAGTTGGAATTTGTGGTGTTATTGATGTTGTTGGTGATGAATAAATTAAACGTTTTTTATCAATAGCTGTTTTTGATTGATTTTTATTACGTGTTCGTCGTGTACATAGATAGATGCTAAGACATGTAATTATTGAAAATGTTAGAAAAATAATTCCGATTATAAGAAAAACTATATCGGGATGTTCGATAAACATAGGCACAATCATCCCGATTCTCGTTCGTTTTTCATTAATAAATTTACAGTAATGACAGTAAAAATTTCTGAATAGATTTTAAAGTGTAAGTCTGTGATTCTATACACCTGGTGTTTTTTTTTCGGAATATAAATCTTATTGATTTATTGCTAGTAGATTCATAGTCAAAGTAAAAAAATAAAGAGAAAAGAAAAAGGAAAAAGGATTAAATGTCAAAAAGCCAAACTATCATTTATTTTATTGTTAATCGACTAAAACAATACGAAGAAGAAAAATAAAACTTGAATATAATATAAAATTTACATTGAAAAGATAAATATTAAAACTTTGTTACTTGAAGACTATATGAATCAGTAACATATATAAGAAGTACTATCGCAAATAGAATACTTATGCACAACATATGTTTAATTATTCGAGTAAAAGTGCTTATGTATCGTCATATGATTCATTAACGTTGTTACTAATAATGGTTTATGAAGTGTCATTTAATTTAATAAGTTTTTAATGAAGGATGATAAACCTGTTTGTTAATGAATTAAGAAAAAGATCAGTAAACGATGTAAGAATGTGATATTGAGTCCAAATATATTATTATCAGTAGAAATAACACGTGGTATAAAGTACATTAAATATGTTCGATGACATCATGATTATTACATATAGAATGTCTGAGTATGACTATGATTATTTGAATTAGTAAAAAGAGAAAAAAAAAGATTTTTTACTTGTAATTCTAGCAGTAACTCAATATAATGCATGATAATTTTAGAATTGAGCTTGATGATATTCTTAGTAGTAAAAAAAATTATATCAATAAGATTTTTACAAAAAGAATCGTTACAGCTACAATTCCAAACGAAAAAACAAAGTTTTTATTGAAGTTTAGAACATAATTTATTGTTGAACAAATATTTACTCGATATGAGCTTGAATTTATTCCATAAAATATTAAGAATGATAGCAACAACTGTATTAAAATGAAAAAGATGCATATATCGATTTTAAATGCTCGGATTATAAATTATTTATAATATCTTCTAAATATTATTCATCAGAACTTATTACAAAAAAATGTTTTCCGATCTTTAGGGTGTAGGTGTGTATAAATTAACACAATAGTTGTACGTACACTTATCTACACCCTCAAGAAGGTTTGTTAACTAAAGATTAGTTTATTTGATAGACAACGTATGGCTTTATTTTTTTAATGACAACTGTACATACATATGATCGATCCGAGAAACGTTAAAAGTACTAGGAAAACATCTGAGCTACATTAGAAAAGAACTCTTCAAAGATACCTTTAAACGAGAGAAAAGAGAACGATATATATGTATATATATATATATGTACTTGTCAACTGCATGACAGCAGAACAGAAGAAAAAAGAATTCAAAACGTGAGTAAATCACACTATAACACCATTTATATTTTATCTTACTTAAACTAACATATTTAATTTATTTTATATTGTATAGATTCAATTAATAATCTTATTAGATGTTTTTTTTGTGACTGAATAAAACTAAATTAATTGAATATTCGAATTATTTACTAAGTAAAAGTATATTCTATTGAGTAAAAGTCAATTTAGTACTGAAATATTATTTAATTAGCAAATAAATAGTACCCATATACAGTTGATGAACAAAAATAATTATTATCATGGCTACTTCGCTTTATTTCATGAATGTTTTTGTTAGAAAAACATGCAACGTATTGAGATAAATATTTCAACGTGGCAATAACGCCAACAAGTCGTTTTTTTTGTCTTCGCTTACTTTTCATATAAATACTAATAGTATTTTGACTAGATCAGTTGATTTGCTCGATACAATAGAATAGGATATGGATGAATATATAAAGAATTTCCTAGATATTACTAATGAATCTGAAATGGTAAGTAACTAGTGACACTCAAAAAAAAGATTTTTTCATTGGTTATATTTGGCAATATTCTAATGGTAAACTATGGAATAACTTGTAGATTTATCATCTTTTTTTACTCTGAATTTGATCAGTCATCCGATTGAGTTTTATTTCTTAGATTGACCGTTTTGATCATCATAAACGTTCTTCTATTTGGTTAAATCGTCATCATTCAAAGATGTCGTCGCCATTTGAGGCGCCTAAGAATGCTATATATATTATTCTCGGTGAAATTCAAGCAATAACATCATCAAAAAAGAATAATGCTCGATGGTCATCTACTCATTCATATGAGGTATTGAACAAAAAAAATATTCTTTAATTTAATTTCAAAAAAATTCATTATCTTCTAGGAATCACCTGAAATGAATTCTTTCCAAAAATTAAAAACAATTTTAAATTCTGTATCGAGTAAATAAAATAAATTCTCAATCTTTATTTTCTATTTTAACACAAATCAATTCATTTAGATCTTCAAGATATTGATTCCAATACATTTTTAGCACCATTCCTTGATATAATTCGTTCTGATGAAACATCGGGTCCGATAACATGTTTAGCATTAAATGCTGTTAATAAGTTTCTCTCCTATGGTCTTATTGGTATTTAGAAATACATATCATTTTGTTTTTTATAAATAATACTCTTTTAAAGATACTCAAGGTGAATCAGCAGCATCAGCTATTGATAAAGTTGCAAATGCTGTAACACATACACGTTTTGTTGGAACAAATCCCAATGATGATGAAGTAGTTTTAATGAGAATATTACAAGTATAGATTTATTATTATTATTGACAAAAAGATGAAAATTCTATTTATTTAGGTTCTTCGTTCATTATTACTCAGCCCTGTTGGATCGAAAATGACAAATGATAGTGTATGTGAAATTCTTCAATCATGTTTTCGTATTTGTTTTGAAACACGACTATCTGGTATATCAAATTTCTTTTTATTTTCCTAATAAAATAAAAATCTTTGTTTTTAGAATTATTACGTAAGACATCGGAACATGTTTTAATTGATATGGTTCAATTATTATTTGCTCGATTACCACAATTTAAAGATGATGGAACAACTTCAGTATTGACAAAACGAGTAATAGAAAAATTTATATTAATTATGTTTAAGAAAATGTTTTTGTATAGCTTCATACACGAGGTATAACAACAACAGGAACAAATGATGCGACAAATAATCGACGTCGTTCTCAACAACGAGTTAATTCATCATCATCGATTAAAAAACAACAAATTAATGAATCTCAAACAAATGGTTTGATCATTTTGTAAAAGGTTTTCTTAATTTAATTTCTTATTATTTTTTATAGAAATAGTATCATCGTCATCCGAAACAAATTTAAACTATGTAAATATTTAAAAGAAAAACAAACAAGTTATTTTTTAATTATATTTTAGGCATCTCAAATTGATGATAATGAACGTCCAACAGCAATTGAAAGTGCTACACATGCAATTCCACCAACAGCACCAATAGATACTGCAGCTATTACAAATGAAATAGAATCTGTCACTGATAATTCACCACATGAAACAATTCTACCGATTATAGTTCCATCATTTGATGAATCATCATCATCAAGAATTATCCTTACAAATGAACCATCAACAACTACAACAACAGTAACGTCTGAAGAAGAACTATCGTCACAAGAAATGACTGATTCAGCATCATCATTACAATCAGAAACACAAACATCAACAAATACTAATGAATATATCAATCCAAGAGGTATTCGATTTACAACAACACCATCTACACCAGTGACCGGTGGACCAATTAAAGGTATATTAACTACTGATATGAAAAAAATTAGTTTTAAACATTAATTCATTGAGTTATAATTTGATATCTATTTGACATCTGTATAAACATTCTATTTATATATAATGTCACATTATCATAGTTATCACTTGTTTATGTCTCCATTAGACATCTATTATTTCGATCCTTTCTTTTCATCATTACGCCCCTTTTCCGTATCTATTTTTAAATAAAAAATAGTAAAGAAACATCGTAAAGTATCGAACTCACATTTTATATAATATTTTGATCGTAATTGCTCATTAACTAAAAACTCTAAAGATCATCAAATTTATTTATATACACAAATCCTAGTTGTATTATCATAAGAACTGAATAAAAATAATATCAGATTGATTATTCCTTTAGAAAATTCAAGAAGATATTTTATACATTAATTTGAATTTCTTTTTTTAGAACCATTAACACCATATGGTTGGCCTTGTGTTCGTGGTCTTTTTCGTTTCTTAACTACTCTTATTAATAATTATGATAAGTTAGTTAATTTTCTTTTTTTTTAAATATTTTCAAATTAAATTTTCTTATTTTCCTAATAGAAATAATACTGAATATATGATGACTGTTGGTCTTAATCTTTTAACAGTTGCATTAGAAGTTGGTGCAGATCATATTGCAAATTATCCATTATTACTTTCAATTGTTAAAGATTCTTTATGTCGAAATTTATTAAGTGTAAGTTTGAAAATAATTTTTCTTTTTATCTTAATATAAAATTATTGTTCTAGATGTTAACTTGTAATCGTATTCAATTATTTTCTGCATCACTTCGTGTTACATTTCTTATATTTGAAAGTTTAAGAACACATCTGAAATATCAATTTGAAGTATGAGATACAAAAAACTAAAAAAATATTTAACTTGTTTTTTCTTTTAAAGTTTTTTTTAACACGTTTGATGGAGTTAATTGTATCTGAACAATCGAAAATAACTATTGAACAAAAAGAAATTGCTTTAGAAACTATTGTTCAATTATTACGTATACCGGGTTTACCAGCTGAATTATATTTAAATTATGATTGTGATGTATATTTATCAAATTTATTCGAAGATTTAACGAAAATGTTATCAAAAAATGCATTTCCAGTTGCTGGTTTAACATCAACACATATACTTTCACTTGATGCACTTCTATCGATTATTGATCATATTGAACTTGAATGTCAATTTCAAGTTCAAAGACAAAAAAATGATTGTAAAAATAAAAAATTTTGTATAGAGGAAAATAATTTTCTTTTTTTGTAGCAACTAGTCAATCATTAACACGACCAGTTCCATCTGGATATGCACTTGCACTTTCATTACAAAATATTGATACAAATCGTTCATCAACACCACGAGAATCTCGACATGGACCTAAAATTCGACAAAATCGAATGATTATTTCATCAAATTTACCATCTCAAGATGATCTGAAAAAAATTAAACATGATAAAAAGGTTTGATTTAATTTTTCTTTCTTAAGAAAATTCTTTTTTTGTTCTTATTCAAAATAGATTTTAAAACAAGGCTCAGAATTATTTAATCAAAGTCCATCATTAGGAATAAATTTTCTTCAAGAAAATCAAATCTTAACAAATCCATTACAAATTAATGAAATTGTTAAATTTGTTAAAGATAATCCAATGTTAGATCTCAAAGTTATTGGAGAATATTTATCGAATAGAAAAAATTCAAGTATATTAGAACAATATGTTAAGTAAATATAAAATTAAAATATTTTTGTCTATTATTATTGATTTCTCGGTTTTTTCTTCTTCTAAAGAACATTTCATTTTGATGATATGCGTGTTGATGAAGCACTTAGAATTTATTTATCTGAATTTCGTTTACCTGGTGAATCACCAATGATTAGTGCATTACTTGAACAATTTGCAGCACATTGGAGAGTAAGTTTAGAATTTTATTATGATTATTTTTGAAATTTATTTATTTTCGTTTGTAGGAATGTAATCATTTTCAACTTGCAAATAACGATGCAGCATTTGGATTAGCATATGCTGTTATTATGCTTAATGTAAGTCATAGAAATAAATTTTATCTAATTAATTAGTTCCTATCATAATAGTAGAAAAATGACTTGAGACACTATCCGGAAATAGTTCAAAAGTCCGATATTTTTTCTACAACCATTACTAGCTGCAGCTTTGGATAGAAGGCCAACCCGACTCAGAGTTCTTCCGTTTAATCACTGAAATTCGATGTTGTTCTGTTTCTAAAAGGATTTTTTCTTAATATATTTAGACTGATCAACATAATAAAAATGCTCGTCGTCAAACAACTCCAATGACATGTGAAGTATAATTGAATTTTTTTGTTTTTTGTTTCAGAAATCAAAATTCTTTCTTCTTTTAAAGGATTTTAAAAAGAATCTTTCCAAAATGAATAATAATGATAATTTTGATGATAGACTATTAACTGAAATTTATAATGCAATTAAATCCGATGAAATAGTTATGCCTGCTGAACATACCGGTCTTGTTCGAGAATCATATTTATGGAAACTAATGCTTAAACGATCATCAGCAAGTGGAGAAAAATTTCTTCATACACCATCTGGTTCATATAATTATGAAATATTTACATTAGTATGGGGACAAACAATGGCTGCATTATCATTTGTTTTTGAAAAATCAAATTATGATTTAGTTATACAAAAATCTATTCAAGGTTTTAGTAAATGTGCAAGAATAGCTGCACATTATTATATGTCCGATGTTTTTGATAATTTGGTTATATCATTATGCAAATTTACGACATTACTCAATAGTCGAGAAGTAAATTTTAATTTTCTTCTTTTGCTTATTATTAATCAACTATTTTTCTCTGATATTTAAATCGTATTATAGATAAATGATACTTTGGTATGATAACGCATGACAGAGAGAGAGAGAGAGAATAGTTCGATTGCTACTAATAGCATGAAAAAATGAAAATTTTTATTTTAATTAAATTTGTTTTTGTTTGATTTAGTGGACTGAAAATTTACCAATTCAATTTGGTTTAAATCGAAAAGCACGTCTTGCTGCAACAGTTGTTTTTCATGTAGCACATGTACATGGAGATATATTGCGAGATGGATGGAAAAATATACTTGAATGTATTATTCAATTATATAAAGCAAAATTATTACCATCTGTTCTTGTTGAAGTTGAAGATTTTCTTGATCCAACTGGTCGAACAACACTTATTAAAGAACAAACAGCACAAACACCAAAGTAAATCTATTAAATTTAGAAAAATAAAAAAAAACGAATGTTACTTTTAATATTAGAAATGATAGTGGTATATTTTCTTCTCTTGCATTTCTTCTTGGTGGTGGTGGTTTATCCGATTCAACAGTATCATCTGGTAAACAAACAACACCTGAAGAACAAGAAGCAATAAAAGTAGCAACAGCATGTATTGAAGAATGTCATTTAGAACAATTATTACAAGAAACAAAATTTTTAATAATTGATTCATTAAATGAATTTTTAAAAGCACTTATTTATGGTTGTCAAATATCTCCTGATTCACAAAAATTAGATCAAGATGCTGCTGTTTTTTGTCTTGAATTACTTGTTAAAGTTGTTTTACAAAATCGTGATCGTGTGACATTATTTTGGTCAACTGTTCGTCACCAATTTTATTCTATACTTGTTAATGCAAATGAAAAATCATTTTTTGTTGAACGTACATGTGTTGGATTATTAAGAATTGCAGCAAGACTGTTAAGACGAGAAGAATTAGCATCTGAAGTAATTTTATTTATATTAGAAAAAAACAATTATTTTAATTCTCGTTCTATTTTAAGGTACTTGCATCTCTTCGTATGTTACTTTTAATGAAACCACATGTAATACATTCCTTATCATCTGAAATTGCATTTGGTTTACATGAACTTCTTCGAACAAATGCTGCAAATATTCATAAATCTGATGATTGGTTTACATTATTTTCGTTACTTGAAGTTGTTGGTGCAGCTGCTCATCCACCACCTGTACTTCAAGCAGCAATACAAAATTCAACAGCTGAGAAACATGTCCTAACTAGTCAATCATCGGTAACTACTGAAGCAGATAGTGAATGTTCCGATTGTGCAACAAATAGTACAGTGGATAAAGGATATACCAGTGATTCAGAGGTAAATTTATTTGAAATAAATAAATAGTTTTATTTTGCTTTCTATTTTTTCTAAGGTTTATCGTCGATCTGATTATATTGTTGTATCACATGATGATTTAGAAACAATTCGAAATCAACAATCAATATTAAATCAATATAAAATTGATTTAAATGAAAAATTATCTCAACATGATCGTCGTGCATTAATTAAATCTTGTGAAACATTATCATTTTTAGTACGTGATGCAGCACATGTAACAGAAGAAAATTTTGAATATTGTATTCATTGTATTCGTACATTTATTGAAGCAACTGTAACACAACAACCATATCAAGCAAAATCAAAATCAACAACAAATAATAAAAATCTTAAACAAATTCGTAAAGTAACTTCATCAGGTTCATTAAATAATGAGAATTTAAATGAGCAAATGAATAATCAATCAGGACAAACACAATTTATTACTAAACAATCAAAATTAGATTATGATGATGAAGATGGTCAAGAAGCTATTAAACAAGAATATCAATCACTTGCTTTACAATTATTAGATTTAATGCATACATTACATACAAGAGCATCACAAATATATAAACATACAACTACTGGACAAAGTGATCAAATAACATCAAGTATTTTATGGTATAAATGTTGGTGTCCTATTTTACAAGGTTAGTTTATATTAATAAAAAGGGTGTGAATGTGGATGTAGTGCGGATGTGATGTGGGTGCAGGTGTGAGTTGGCTCTCTCCTATTCGTACCGCACATATATTTATACCCACTCCCTCAAAATTAAATGCATAGTATTTCTAGTTTATAATTATCTATAAATTGTCTTTTTAAGGTATTGCACGTCTTTGTTGTGATCCTCGTCGTCCAGTTCGTGCTTCTGCTCTTGGTTATCTTCAACGAAGTGTTTTATTACCTGAACTTCATATTCTATCTCCGACAGAATGGGAATCTGTATTTAATAAAGTTTTATTTCCATTATTACTTAAATTACTTGAAACAACAAATATAACAGATCCTGTTTATGGAATTGAAGAAACACGTGTACGTGTATCACAATTACTTTGTCGAATATTTCTTCAACATCTTTCACCTTTATTAACATTACCAACATTTACAGCACTTTGGTTGACAATATTAGATTTTATGGATCGATATTTAAAATCTGATCAAACAGATATGCTGGTAAATGAAATTTTTTTATTTAAAAATTGTATTTTAAATATATATTTTAGCGTGAATCTGTTCGTGAATCATTAAAAAATATGCTTTTAGTTATGAATACAACTGGTTTATTTGATGGTGATCAACCTTTATCGATAATTACAAAAGATAGAATACATAGTTTTTTACCGGGTCTTTGGGAAGAAGTTTTTAAAATGTCAGCACCATTACCAACCGTATCCTTACCATCTACAATTCCTTCGAATATTGAAGTATATTATAATTATTGATTTAATTTAATAACTATATAATTATTTATTTTAGAATAATATTAAATCTAGGACGACATCTGAAGAAAATAGCTCATTGAATGAATCAGTAACAGCTTCTGCAACAAGTAAGAAACATTTATTCTATAAAAATTTCAATATTTATTTATTTATCTTTGATAGATCAAACGATTAATGAAACTGTTCCTGCAAATAATGTACGATAGTTTTCTTTTATTAATTAAATTATTCAAAAAAACAAAAATAGATCGATAGAAAAAAAGATACATGAGTTAGTCGATACCATTTTTTATAGGTTGCTTCCTGTTCTCCATCATAATATTTTTCTTATAAAAATAAAGAAAGGTTAGCTCGGAATGAAATTGATCGATATGAAGATTTTCTTTGATGCATGCTATGATATTTTATTAGATTTTAATTGAATTAATCTAAAACATAACATTAATTTATTTCTTTAGACTCAAGTTGTTACATCTCAAATACAAAATTCCTGAAAAATTGTATCATTGAGTTTGACTTTATTTTTCTTTTCGTGTTGTTATTATTATTATTATTATTCCGAAAAAAAACTTAATACTATATATTTATTTTTCGTTTGTTCAATATATATACCATTCGGATTTTATTTTCAGTGTTTTTTTCGCTCTCTTATCTTTATTGTTCACTCACTTTTTTTCCTTATCTTACTTGTATTTACACATATTGTGACTAATGTATCAGTAAAAAAAAAAAAGATTTACCAAACAAGAAAACACTTATATATAATTTTGATGTGACAACTAATATTTTAGATAAAGATTGATGGCTGATAATAATACAATAAAAGAATGTGAAAATGAGAAAGATTTATGTAAGAGACAAGTTCGAGCTATTTGTTTACATTGCTCAAAAAATCTTTGTCGTATTCATTTAATTGAGCATACACAAATGCTTGAAGAAAATGTTCGTAGTGAATTAAATACATTAGCTGATAAATTTAATGAATTATCATCAAGATTTAATGATCTTTCGATATCATCGGAGCTTTTAGAACAACCTTTTTCTCAATTAGAACAATGGCGTCTTGATGCTCATAATAAAATTGATGAAATTATTGAAAAGAAACGTCAAGAAATTAATGATAAAATTGATGAATATAAAAAATTATTTACTATTAGTAATTTAGAACAATTAGAAAAGATTAATGTTAGTAAAAAATTAATTGCAGAATTGATTCAAGATACTGATGCATCTCATCAGCAAATATCAGATCTTCAAACATCTATTGATAATGCAGAAAACTATTTAAATTCATTTACTACACACAAAATTTATACCATTAATCATCCATTAGTTTGGTTGGTAGATATTTATACTGATTATTTTCCTTCCCAATTTGTAACATTAACTACTAAATTACGTGAATTTAAAATTACTTATATTCGTCTTGATGGTACCATACGACATCATTATGTAAATGTAAATGTACATATATTTGGAACAATGAACAATCTTATACGAGTTTTTATTCAACGATATCCTTTATTTGAAGCTCTTATTCGATCGGAATCTGGTTCAGCTATGTTAACTGATCACCAGCCGAAATACGATTTTATTTTATCTGTTGAAGTATATGATCATCGCATTCGCACTCGATATTCCAACGATCATTCATTATCTTTAATTTCATGTAATCAGTCAATTGTTTTCTATGAAACATCTTTTTCATTAAACGATCGCGATCATCCAAATATTCTGATGGCTTGTGCTTTTCGACGGTTACCAAATAAAAACTCATTTGGTTGGCCTATCTATCTTAATGTTCCTCGCACAGGATCTCGAGGTCAAGATGTACAAGATGCATTAGATAATTTATTAGGAAATTTTTTTCCATTAAATCCAAATACTGATCAACTTTTATATGATGCATATCTTGGAACTACTATTAATTATTATACAAAAGAAACAAAATTAGATACTATTTTGCAAGATGAACTTGATTTCAGTAAAACAGGTGTAACATTATTTGTAGATATCGCAAATGAAATCGTTGAACAATACGAACTAAATACTCTAATCTAGTTTCAAACTACATTTCACTTAATCTTCCATCTTTGTCAGAAAAATTTTATAATCTCAAATAGAATAAAAGTCAAAAGTGCTTCAAACTATAAGCACATTACACACTTCATTGTTTTTTAATTGTATTTTTGCATTAGATTAGTAATAAAATTGAATTTATTAGAAATAATTCAAATTCTTACATCAATACTTAAATATATAAATTTATATAAATGCAAACTTATTTCAATTTTGTCATAGTTAAAATGAAGCCTAAACTATTATATTTTATTCGATACAGAATTTCATGGGATATACAATGATGGTAGACTATAGGGGTAAACAGGCTGCGTTTAAAATTTCTTCGATATCGTAGCAGCTAACAATCATGAAAAATTATGTATATGGACACTTTGTCTGCATAATAATTGTTTATTTTTCATAGAACTAACGTTATTTTTTTTCGAGTAAACAGAACTTGTCAAGAGCACTGAATAATGGTATATCTAAGATTTTCTCAATATTAAACTTCGCGAAAAGTATGAAAAATTCATGTCATGTATACGGACACTGCTGGTTTTTAGACAGATTGATCAAAACCAATCTGTCATCAGCTACGCTTCTTGAAGTACACATAACATTTGAATTTCAATCCGAGGTTTCCACATCTATTTATGATTTATTGTTCAATTGATGGTAGACAGTAAGTTGTTGTTCATTTACATTCGAATTAGAATTAGGTAACTTATTCTTTATACAAATTTTGTTTCTATAATTGATCCTAAATATATGCAACATGCATAATCATTTGATTGATAGATAAATAAAACGAATATTTCTCACATTAAAATCTTTTCTTTTTATTATTATTCTAAATTCTTTCAAGAGAAAGAAGAGCAAGTTGTTACCAATACCTTTATCTGTCAACAGTAATATATGATGTTTAAATATTATTTATTGACGTGCATGACATTAGACAAGGACATCAACGTATTCCTATTTTTCCCACCTTCTACCTAAAATCAAAACCAAATGCGTCTATGCTCTTACAGTCATCACTATAATATATTTTTTATTCTCTTCTCTTCGATGTTTACATAAAAGTATTGATTATTAAAATAGATACTAACTGTATATCTTGGCGAGCATATGTATTGTTAATAAATAAATAAAATAGACGCAAACAGAACATCGAGGTGTTTTCTTATGATGACTGGTGTATAAAGGGAAGAAAATACGAATGTTAATGTGCCTCGATATCAACATTATTATTATCACAAAATAAAGTTTAGTTTAAATCATTTATTCATTAATATTTCCCTAAAACTTCTCTTCTCATGTATGTTCTTTTTAGAGAATAGAGCTTTTAGAAGATTTTCTAAATTTTGCTTTTATTGTTTTACTTGATTGTTTTTGATAAACGAGTGATTGTTAACATTGACCTTTTCTTGAATCTATTTTTAAAAGTCTAATATCTCTTAGAATTTAAAATGTAGATCGTAACTAAGCATTTTTGTAAGCAGGTGCACTATTTTATATTCGATAAAAATTGATCGAAAACAAATATTAGTATAAAAATATTTGGCATTGTTACTATTAGAAAATTTTTTGTGCAGAGATTAATCAATTTATCTATATTTATTCGAAGGGCGATATATTGTGAGAGAATATTTTGTTTTTTCTCTTTATTTTTTGATGTTACTTTTTACAGCCATCATCATTATTTCTTCCTATACAAGAGTAAAAGGTGGGTCACTTGATGATTTTAAGAGAGTCGAAGACAAAAGATACATAAGAAAACTAGATGGTATTCGAGTGTCACGCGACTACGAAATGCGATGCGAAGCAGAATTTCGAAATAACGGTTTTAAGATTTTCACAAAACTATCCAGATGATTCATTATCTATTATCAGCTGCACTGTCAGGTGTAAAACAGTTGTTAGAAAAAATTGGTGTCTAACTTTTGCTTTTGTTTTTCGTTTTAATTATCTCGAAATTTGAAAAAGTCAAAATCGTGTTTTTGTGACGCTTCCTGTAGATGAACTAAACGTCCTGTTAAAAATCGCAAAACATGTAATATTAGTTCGATCTCGATATTTTATTATTGCGTTTAAACGAGTATTTTCTGATGTTCCATTGCTGAGATAATCGCAACAAAAAATGATCATTTTGAATGTGTACGTCGAGAAAGAAAGAAAGAAAGTAAAGAAAGAAAAAAAGAAAACTCGCGAAGAACTACATAAATGCGTCTGCTTCGCATCGCATTAATAATGCCAAATGTTGAGTATCGTCACACTCTCTCGTCATTGTTGGATGAGATTGTACAACAGAATACAATAATAAGAAGGGGTATATAAAGAACAGTCGAATAGCACTAATATCATTCACAAGTGGTTTTATTTGGAGTAAGTAATATTATTTTTCATTCAGAATATCAAAATCAAGAACAAGGATGAATCTTACACAATTCATTTTGGTCTTAACTGTGTTTATTCCAACAATAGTTTATTCACGACGACTTTCTTATGATGAATTAGAGGGTGCATTGGAAGAATTTTATCCACAATCGCGTACAATAAATCAGCTAAAGTATGTATCATTCATGCAAAAATACAACTAATATGTTTATGTAGTGATATTAAAACCTTTTTATGTCTCTTTTCTCTTTAGTTCTGATTGCAATTGGATTACATACGATTTAGATGCAACTGTCGGAGGCTACAAAGATTCATTGAGCTATTCATGCCCAAAAGTGACACTTGCTGCTCCTTTTTGTGTTCTTACTTGGTCTGATGCCGTTGCTCTATGTAATAGTGATCCAGAGTGTGACGGTTTGTCATTAACACTTAATCATCATTGGCATGATATGAATGATAGAAAAGGCGAAACTACTGTATATTTATACAGTACTACATCAGAAGTCCTCACTGATAATAAACATGGAAAATGGTACACGTTCCCCAAAAAATGTTGGAAATATGATTCATAGAGATATGCAAGTATCTCATGATGGTATTGCTCTACTTGAAACATTCCACAGGACATCTAAAAAACTATTTCATAATCAATTATTTTTAATCTATAATATTTAAAGCTTTTTTTTGGTATTGGTTTAGAGATTTTATTTTTATTATTCATATATTATTCATAACCAAATAAATCATTTATTCATATTTTGACCAGAACATAAAGAAACAAGATTTTGTATGTTGATCTTTTTAATTCTTAATCTACTTGGTTAGATTTAATTTACGATAGTTCATATGATTACAAAGAAAAATTTTCGATTGTGTCAAGAGATTGTGTATAATCGAATGTTTCAATTTTCGATCTAAGATCAATAATCAATTGTTGTTAGTAATACACAGATTGTATTGTTTTATAAGCACAGTGATCATAAAAAGATATAATCTATGAATCAATCCGAATTTTTTCGTAATCTTCGTAAATGGTTGTACGAAATGAGACTAAACTGACGCGAACCAAATTACAGTCATCAGTCCATATTATACCGTTATGTATGTATATGTGTTTAAGCAATAAGAGAGCAAACTGGAGATACTATTTTTCGATTTGACTTTGATGTTGGTTCTTTCAATGAAGTGTTAATGATTAATAAAATTGAACAAGAAACTTTTTTAGACGATTTTAAAGAGAAATCCAAGATTTCCAGGATATGATTGAGGGCTTAAAAATACATCTATAGTCATACTCACAACACGTTCCGACCTCAGAAGACTTCTCGCTATTTAGAAAAAAGTCGAATAACGAAACATAAACAATATAACTAGAGACACAGAACTAGAGATGATCGAAATGTAAATACAAAAAACAAAAAGATTAATTTGACGATAGTTATGATTTATCTGCTTAAACTGTATAACGATTCTTTTACCTGTTGAAAATATTCATCTCATAAATTTTATTTCAGTTTTTCAGAACAAAAGATACATATACGGCAATACAATCTTGCAATAGATAGATACATCTAACTATTCGAAAGAAAAATACGCATTGTAATTTTTTTGATACTTTTTTGAGTTGACTTGACTTCCTCAGAATCTGATCTACTTCGATTTATTTTTATAACATTTCACTTTTATATCTTTATATGTGCACTAACGTAAGAACTTTTTAAAGTGATCTAAATAGAATTCAATGTTGGCAACAATCTCAAAACGAACAAAAACAATTAATAATTTTGATTATTCTTCAGATAATATAGACGATATTGTCGATCTCAGTCTAAATACAGAAAAAGTTTTACTTGATTTATAAATTGCCATTTATAGTCAGATGCGTAGTTTATATTTACAAAGTGTTTGTTTTTGCTTGTGTCTTTCAATAAACGGTCTAGAGGTATTTTGAAATGAATAAAAAGTGAAGAAAATTAAAAAAGAATTCTCATGTATAACAGTTTGCATGGGCTCGGACCCGAGTGTACCCGATAGGCTTTAACTGCTCGACTTCTAATTTGATTACTTCGAGAATCGAGTGAAATGAGAGTCTATATATGTAAGTAAAGCACTAATGGAACAAATATGACTAACGAGCGAAAGACTCAATTTAGTAAATGTTACGTTGTACTACTTGTTCTCTGATTTCATGGTGATTTAATATGATTGTTTTGCTTTCGTATCAATAAGAAAAAATACACTTAATATTATAAAATATGAGAATTATGATTCTTTTCATGATGCAAATCGTTTGAAAAAGAAATTATTATTTTATCAACGAGTTTAACTCAATATAAATGATTGATCATCGATTATTTATGATAATGTATCGAGTTAAACTGATTAGATTTCGATACGCAATGCTATTCTTTTGTTAATAAAATATTTGTTTCTTCTCACATGTGTAATCGTGTTTCTAACACACCACAATATGAAAAAATGAAAGATGTTGTAAATCAGAAAAAAACTTTTCTTTCTTCAAATAATGATTTACATAAGATAATATATAACATATCGAGTATTTTGTTTTATTGCACATAACGTAAGAATTTTATATAAAATATCAGTCGGCAGAAATGTCTCTTGAGAAAAAAGGTAATTTCCAACACGCAATTAAAAAAAAATAACATAATCGTATCTTTCCAAGTAATATAAATACTGCATCGATAAATAATACTTATTCTTATACATGGCAAAATATGGCTTCGCTCTCTGATGCAACACTAATGGATGCTGATTTAACTTGTAATATGGACGTTACTCAAACGTCTAGTTCAACAGAAATTGCTAAAGAAGCAATGGATAAAAGCGGTTCAAATTCAGATCCACCAGTTCAAGTAGCTTCATCTCGATTACGTAAGTGAAATATTTTAGAATGAATGATAATCGTTAGTACTTTGTTGACTTTTGATTTAGGTTTAAATTCAACTGCTGAGAATCGACTTTATGCAGCAATGCGAAAACATGAAATAGCAACAAATGAAAAGATAAATCTTTGTAAATTAAAAGGTTTTGAAATTGTTTTAATTTGTGATGATTCAGGCTCTATGAATACTATGATGATGAATAGTCAACAAACTCGTTGGAATAGCTTACGTAAATTTGTACGAACTGTTGCTGAATTTGGTACTATATTAGATTCAAATGGTGTGGATGTTTGCTTTCTTAATAGACCAGATTTTTATAAAATCATAGATCCAAGACAAATTGAACCATTATTTAATGAACCTCCATCAGGTTATACTCCATTAACAAAAGTATTACGGAAAGTGTTGAAAATGCCGGCAGCTCGTCGTGGTTTTGATAAAAAACTATTAATATTTATTTGTACAGATGGTGAACCTACTAATGATGATGGTGAATCAGATTTACAACAATTTGAATATGTTATGCGATCTGAACGTCAATCAGAAACTACTCATGTTATGTTTCTTATTTGCACAGATGAGCCTTTTTCAGTTAATTATTTAAAAGAATGGGATCGAACAATGGAGAATGTTGATATTACTGATACTTTTGAAAATGAGCGAAGTAACGCTATGCAAAAATATGGAAATAATTTTAGATTTTCAAGGGCAACTTATATTATGAAATTATTACTCGGTGCAATCGATCCAAAATTTGACGAAATTAATGATTAATTTTAATAGAAATAATCATATGGGACTGAGACATTTGATAAATTTGCTAAGAGAGTTTTTCACCTTTTTACAATATAGTCAAGAAAATAAATAATGTATATTGCATCTAATTGTCACAAAATAAATAATAGTAGGAAAAACGCAATGATTAGCTCTCAAGAGAAAAGAACAGTATATGTAAAATCAACATAAAATTTTCTTATAGCATATCTCGTAAGTTGAAATGAAATTATTTATTCTTTACAATGCCATTAGTCTGTTCGATACTTCAAAACGTTTTTGATTTCGTTTCTTCCTATGGAATTTTTAGTGTTGTCAAGAAAAATACAATTATAATGATTATACTATCACTTGATCTCTCCACTCACTCGTTCGTTCTTATTTTCGTTTCATTATGCTTTGTATATTCATCTTTTTCTGCCCTCGTATATAAACGTATATTATATGTAGAGTAACGATAAAACTACTTCTCCATCTTAAGATTAGTATTTAAGATCTCGAGAAAGAAATAATTTCGAGCAGTGGTATATTCGTTTTCTTGTTTCATTTCTGTTTTGTCGACTCCATAAATTTGATGTTGACTTTGGTCTTCTTTCTTTTTATATGCAATTCAATACGTGATAGTACACTATTCTTTCTCGTTTATACTTTTCTTTTTTTATGGCCATGTCACTATTGTATTTTATATTGAATCTTTTGGTTTGTAGATATATAACGAAGATAAAATAAGAAGAACGATTTTGCATAAAATTATTATCAGCTAATACTCGCATTTTCAGAAGACATCCACTCTATTTTTTTACCTATTCCACCTGTACCTTGATTCAAATGTTTTCCCCTCATCTTTTATCACACACGAGCAAGAACACATTCCACCGCTTTACTTCAATATTGCATTCTTCTACTTATAATTCTTCTTATGACTGTTTCCTATTATCTTTTCTATGTATTGGCAGATGATGTAGGACAATATAATCTATATCTGTTAAATGTTGCTTCAAATACTTCATCGATGTTAGAAGGAAGAAGGTTATTTTATGGACTTATCTGACGTACGATGTTGAGGGTGGGTACGGATGTGTGTGGGTATTTTATCTATTACACACCCCCACCCATACCCTCGAATATAATATTAGAGTTGGTTTTGAATAAACAACTTCAATGCATTGAACATGAACATTTGTTTGTTATTTATTCTGAAGAGAATAATTAGACAAACTAGATAAATTTTGAGTAGAAAACTTATTTTTATATAGTATTTCCTCTTGAGCAAGATATGTTGAATAATTGTAAATTAAAAAATCCAATACAAAACGATTTTTCTTAGGAGAAAATATTTAGATTTCATTGACAATTTTTATTCACATAAATTAAAATAATCACCGATGACCAGAATGTATTCTACAATTTCATTATATTAAAAGTCAAAATAGAGAATGTAAGGGTGTAAATGTGACTTCAGATAAGATAAATCTTCATTTACATTCACACCCTCAAGTTGAAAAACAAAAATAATTTATTCGACGAGATCTTCAATAAAGTTTATTTTCGACTTTTTCTTCGTTTTTCAGTAGTCTTTAAAGTTCCATCTAAACGAGCTAAACGTGTTGTTTGATCGTTAAATAATATTTCATTATTGTTAATTAAATTAACTATAAGTGTTTCATTATCAGCCATTAATAAATAATCATCAATAATTTTATCTGCCCATAGATCAAGTAATGTTGCTTCATTCATTTGATGATCATTTGATACAATTTTAACTTCATAATGTATATTATTTTTATCATCAATTAAAAGAGGAAAACATGTTTTTAATGTTTTATTTAATGCATCAATAACATTTCGACCACGACATTGAAAACGTGGTACTTGAAGTAAAATAGGTAAACCAAATTGAATATCCCATGGAAGACCATCTTGAAATCTACATAAAATCAAACAATATTGTTGAAGATTATTTATATTTAATTCAAATGGTGTTTCATATAAAATTAATTGATCAATTTTATTAAAAATACTTTTTAATTGAATATCATTTTGAAATCTTTGACGAACACGATATTGATTAGCTTCAACTGCTAAAAATGAATCACGTTTTTGTTTTATCATTAATGTTTTTTCTTGTATAGCTATAAATTTATCAATTAAATCGCCTATTGTTCCATTAACTTCAACTAATATATAATGACAAGTAACAATACCAGATAGACGAACATATTTTAAACGAAATTCTAATTGATGTAGAATGGATGATACAGATGATGATGTTGATGATGAAGATGAAGAACAACAATTCGATGGTTTCCAATTATCAACATGCATTCGAATATTAATTGAATGTATTAATGGACGATTTGATGTTACTTCAATTTTATGTTCATTAAATATATTTAAATCGTTTTGAATATGTTTAATTGATCTTTCTAAATTTGATATAGCTTTATTAGCTATTTGTGTTTCACGAAATAGATCTGCTATTTTTTGTTTATAACGTGTAATTTTATCTAATTGTTCAGTACGTATTGCATTAAATATTTGACGATAGTCATTAATTTTCGTTTCTATTTCTTGACATTTTTGTTCAATAATTTCATCGATTTGATGATGTGCTTCTATACCCCATTGTTTAATTTTTACAAATGGATCATTAAGAATATTTGTTGAAATTAATAATGATTCAATTTTTGATGATAAATCTGTAAGAATTGAAAAATAATCTTTCAATATTGCATGATTATTTGCATCTAATAATTGAGCATGTTTAATTATATGATCCAAACATAGATCACGAGAACAATGATGACACATTGCACTAGAATGAAAATTTACTTTTTTTAATAATAAAACATATTTTAATTAAAATTCTTACGTAGCTTCATTGTGACATTTTTCATTATTATCATCAGCTTTACATAATTTCGTAACTGCTGCCATTATTTAATCTCAAAATATAAATAATAAACTATAGATGTAATACGCTCGATGTTATTTGTTATTTGAAAGATAAAATGGGAAAAATATTTTTTTTCGAAAGCAAACAAGTCATTCATTCTCTTTTCTCTTTATATGTTATGTTTATTATTTCCAGAACAAAATTCCATCGATATCCAGTGAAATAAAATAACTACACATCAGCATGAAAAAATGTATATTCAAACAAAATATTTTCTTTTTTTCACACTGTGAAAAAACAGCAATGAATCATAACGAAATATTGATCAAGTTTATTTTAAAAAAACAAAACATGAATAATAATGATTACAAATTCAAAAATAAATTCTTTTTTTCTAATAAAGAAACCGATGATGATCTTTTTTTATCGAAACGTTGTTTACTTCCATTGTTACTCACATTAAGTTCTTTAATTTCTTGACGTGAATTTCTTGTAGAATGAATTGGTTGTGCAACTACTGGAGATGTTGGTTGAGTTATTTTTGATGATTGTGTATCAAAAAAATGTGTACGAATATTAACAAAAAAGTCATAAGCAGAAATTCTAATTGAATGTTTTTCAATTGATTGCAAAAATTGTTGTGTTTCATTCATTTTATCTTGTAAATATTTAATATCTTTACTGGCTAATTGTGCTTGTCGAGATAAATCATTTAAACGTTTTTTTAATAATTCAATTTTTTGTTTTTGTTCATTTGTTTTCTTATTGAATATAGTTCGATATTCAGATATTTTTATTTGAATTTCTTGACGTTTTTGTATAGCTAATTGATCTAATTTTTCATGAGCATCTAAACGCCATTTTTCAAGTTGAATAAATGGTTCTTCTAATATACGTGATGATATTGAAAGACATTCAAATTTATTATGTAAATCATTTAAAATTGTTTCATGAGAATGTAAAAATGTTCGTGTTTGATTTTCAAGTAATTGGGCATGTTCAGTTAAATGTGTTAAACATAAATTACGTGAACAATGGAAACATTTTGCTCTTTACAAATAAAAAATTGTTGAAAAATAAAATGATTTTTAAATATATATTTACCTAGCATCTTTCTCACAAGTCATTCCATTATCATTTGCTTGACATGGTTTTGATTCGATATTTGTCGACATTTTAAAGACAAATTAATATAATAGTTGTCTATGAAATTATACCAGTCATCAATATTTTTTCTTGCTCTTAAAAAGCAGTGCTTTTAAAGCACGTAGAATATAAAAAATACATTTGCATTGTTTAGAGATAAAAAGAAAAGAAAAGAAAAAAATGGACAAAATTTAATCAATAATGTGCTATGTCATCAAATAGAATATTTATCTAGCATAGCCACATGTATGTATCTAGATTATTTTTCATTTATTATCAGACTTATCTCGAAATACTGCATAGTATAATCTATATCTTATATCGTTTTTCATTTACAAATATAAATCAAAATTTAAATTCAACTTTAATAAACTTCAAATGATGAAAATATGTTGAATTCTATGATTATTCATTGATAATTGATGTTTGTTGTAATTTTTATTGATAAATGAAAAGTATTACAATCGATGTTTAATGCATTAGTAATACAGAAAAAAATATATATCAATTAATGAAAATCTTCATATATAGTTGGGTATGAGTAGCTGAGTGTGGATGAATATACCAGTACCACCCACATCCACACCCACACCCTCAAGATATTCGGGATCAATTAATATTAGTCTTCTTCTATTTATCAGCATATATAATAGCGCTTTAACAGCTATTGCAGAATTATGTTTATTGATCAGTTAAATTAATAATCAGAAAGATAAAAAAAAGAGTAAGTGATGAACGAATAACAGCAAGATAATTCAGAAAGAAAAAAAATTAAAGTGAAAGACAGATACATCAGAAATAAATAAAATAAAACGATTTGTTGATAACTGCTCATATGGTTGAAACGCAACTATCATGTGTTACAGCTTCGTTTACTTGATGTATTTTATATGAATATGATGATGATACTCAAGATTTAAAAATTTCATATTTTAATCTTCAAGAGATTGCTCTGATAAAGCATTTTCCGCTTCTTTTAATTTATGTTCAAATTCTTCCTTTTTAGCAAACTAAAAGAAAAGATATAAAAAAGAAGAAGAGAGAATATGAAATTTCTGTCACCTGATTGATTTCCAACCATAGGGATATTTCCTCGAGAACATCAATTATTTTCTTTTTCTCATCATCATTGAATATATATTCTAAGTTCTCGCCATTAAGTTTTGTTTTAATATTAAAACAATATGATCTAAGTAAATTCTTAGCTTCCAATCGCTCTCCTTCTATTTCATCTTCTGTTTGATATCTTTTAGCATCATTTATCATACGTTCCAGTTCATCTTTGGATAATTGCATTTTACTACCTGTAAGTGTCACTTTCTTTTCTTTTCCAAATATTTTCTCTACAGCTGAGATATTTAGAATTCCATTGACATCAATATCAAATGTAAGTTGAATCTCTGGTGCACCTTTAAGTGCTGGTGTGATTGGACAAATATCAATAGTTCCAAGTAAATGATTCTTTTTTGTCATTGATCTTTCACCTTGAAAAAGTTTAATAGCAACACATTGTTGAAAATCAACACTCGTTGTGAATGTATGTATTCGTTTTAATGGAAGTATTGTATTACGTTCAACTACTACTGTCATAACATCATCAGCTGATTCAATACCCTTTCAGAAAAAGAATAAAGTTAGAAAATCATTCTTTTTTTCAACTTTTACTTACTAATGAATGCGATGTAACATCAAACAGCAACACTTTTTTTAATTGTTTCGATTTGTTCTTAGTTAAAATAGCAGCTTGAATAGCAGCACCGTAAGCAACAGCTTCATCTGGATTTATTGATTTATTTAGTTGTTTACCATTAAAAAAGTCTTGTAAAATTTTTTGGACTTTTGGAATACGCGTTGAACCACCAACAAGAATCACTTCATGAATTTGTGATTTATTCATTTTTGCATCATGTAAAGCATGTTTAACAGATTCAAGTGTTGAATAAAATAAATCATCATTAAGTTCTTCAAAACGAGCACGAGTTATTGTTGAATAGAAATCAATATCTTCATGTAATGAATCTATTTCAATTGATGCTAGAGAAGATGAAGATAAAGCAACCAGAGATGGGATCGGTTCGTGTTTTTATCGAACCGAACCGAACCGAACCGAAAAAATCTTGAACCGAACCGAACCGAACCGCTCTACTTTTTCAAAAACGCGAACCGAACCGAACCGGACCGAAAAGATCTCAAACCGAACCGAACCGAACCGAATCAAGCCAAAATTTACAACAATCTAACGAGTGTATTTGAATATCAAATTTTGAATGCGTTAAATGTCTCGAACCGAACCGAACCGAACCGAAAAAGTTTCGAACCGAACCGAACCGAACCGCTCTACTTTTTCAAAAACTCGAACCGAACCGATTTCGAGTCGGTTCGGTTCGGTTCGGTTCGGTTCGGTTCGAAACCGAACCGGTCCCATCTCTGAAAGCAACCTAAAAAAATGAAGAGAATTAAGAAGAGTTGCTTTTTTAAATGTACTTTAGCATGTTCACAAGCTCTTAGTAAACGACGAAGAGCATGTTTATTTTCTGATAAATTTTTCTGATTTTTTTGTCGAAATTCTTCTACAAAATATTTAACCATTCGTTTATCACAATCTTCACCACCAAAATCTCCATCACCAGTTGTTGATTTAACTTCGAATATTCCTTTTATAAGTGAAATCACTGATACATTGAATGTTCCACCACCCAAATCATAAATAAGAATATTTCTTTCATTAGATATTTCTTGTTTATCTAAACCATAAGCAATAGCAGCAGCTGTTGATTCATTGATAAGACGTAATACTTTAAGACCAGCAATAGTAGCAGCATCTCTTGTTGATTGACGTTGAGAATCATTAAAAGAAGCTGGAACTGTAATGACAGCTGACGTGACTGTATGACCAAGATAAGATTCGGCAATATGTTTCATTTTAATTAATATCATAGACGAGATTTCTTCAGGTGTGAATTGTTTTATTTGATTTTTATATTTAACTTCAATCTTTGGCTTTTCATAATCATTAATAACTTTGAATGGCCAACGTTTCATATTTGATTGTACTATTGAATCAGAAAATTTTCGACCAATAAGTCGTTTAAAATGAAAAACTGTATCTTGCGGATTAATAGATAATCGATTTTTAGCTTCATCACCAATCAACCATTGACGATCAGTAAATGCAACATAAGATGGTGTTAATCTATTTCCTTGTTCATTCGGTATAATCTCAACTTTACCATTTCGAAATACACCAACACATGAATATGATGTACCTAAATCGATACCTATTGCTGATACTGGTTCATTACTTGTTGAACTTTCGAAGTCATTACTACTAGTTGAACTTTCAGAATCATTAATGCTGATTGTATCTGAGTGACGAGTTTCTGTTACATGTACATTGCTACCGTTTTTTGTCTTTCGATTTTGACTTTGTGTACAACCCATTAGAGATTATTCGGAGAAGCTTCTAAACAATATTTCGATGAGGTCTTTAATTTATGTGAAAATTAAAGACGCTTTCAAGAGTAGTAATAAATTCGAAATCTGAACTAATATAAAATAAAAATAAAAATAGACGCTTTCATAAGCAAACTAAATAAAAGATAAAAGGATAAAAAGTTACTAAAAAAAAGGAACATCCGTCAACGAAAAAGAAACAAGAGAAAAGTACATTATGAAAGAAAAGATAAAGAGTGTGTGTAAAGATGAGCTCTCCATTGAAAAATGATATCCTTATCTATTAAGTATATCAAAGTGTGCACGATCCGAAACAATACTTATTCAAGAAGGGGAAGAATGTGAATGATGATATCTTCCCAGAGACGAAAGAATGATATGACTGATAACATTCTTTCAAATGTGAAGCAGAGAAAAAACGAAAGAGAAGCGAAAATAATGTTATCGGTAACAGTAACAAGTTCTAAGTCTTTCCATCTAGTATTCTTTTCTTATATGGTTTTTCAGTGGAATCGATCGATATTTTCGGCATTTCTACTAGAAGAAATATAGAAAAAGAATATTACTATAAAACGTTTTCTGTTTAATACCTAACAATGTCTTATGTTCGCGTAATAATACTTTTGGTATTTGTATTTTAAAGTGGAAAAATCATACAAATATGCCGTACTTCTTCAAAACTTAATTTTAGTACGAAAAGATTACGTTTGGAAGTGTACATTTTCGATTGTTCATTTGTATTGTTGACCAGAAAACTATAAAGGATGCACTTTTCTATGGATATATATCATCTTATAGGATTTCAGAAGCAAATATTGAGTGGTATGGTTAAACAAAAGACAAGGAATATCATACCCACAACCATCTTGAGAGTGTGGGTGGGTGTGGGTGTGGATGTGGGTGGGTGTGGGTATAGGTGGATGTGGATGTGGGTGTGGATGTGGGTGGGTGTGGGTGAGTGTGGGTGTGGGTATCAGTGAAATATCTCTCATCACTCACATCCACCCACACCCACCCACACCCACATTCACATCCTCGTTCAGAACTTATCAAATATATATTTTTTTTCTGAGGGTGTGGGTGTGGGTGGATGTAAGTGATGAGAGATATTTCACTGGCACCCACGCTCACACCCACATTCACACCCACATCCACATCCACCTATACCCACAACCACACCCACACCCACACAATAATGTGGCGTAAATTTTAATAATCTTAGTGGTAAAAGATAGAGTTCCTTGGTTTCGTTGACTTTGCTCGTTGACTACAGTTTTTTTTACTTCCTCAATAATAATAATATTATTGATTTTGGGGTTTAGAATTCATATGTTTTAAAAGAAAATAAATTATTAGAATGAATGTGAGCTGACGAGAATACTTTATGACACGTAAAAGAATTCTTTTTTTTTGATCTTTCTGATTTTCCGCTTTGTTTCATTGATAAATAGCTTAATACGGTAGTGTGGTAAATAAAACTAATTTACCGAACTGAATTAGTCTTGTTTTATATTAATATACATTTCAAAAGAAAAAAGTGATAAAAAATTTCAGAGATATACTGTATGTGTCATTCTATAAGAATTTCGACATAGGCGAAATTTCATAGAACGATATATTTCGATAGAGATCGCTGTTGTTTCTACATATTATATTACTCATAACGTCGACAGTCAGATTTAGAAAGATCGGATTGGTCGACTTGTAAGATGTTACTTCCTCGGTCGCTCGTAAAATCTTTCGTAAATCTTTAACTGACTGACTCATATAACTCTATTTAAGAGCAATAACATATAACGAAATTCTCATTTTATTCGTTTTCAATTGCACTATTATTACTCAATATTACCATAATTATGAGCTTTACAGCTTCCAGTAATGAACAGATGGCTGATGCGCTTGGTGATATTTCTCAAGTATGTTCTATAATTTCTTTCTATTATGAAGTATCGATTCTTATCGTAGTTACCAAAAACGATGAAAATGGCTGTGTCAAAAGAAATTGAGGAGAGTTTTCAACCAGTACCTCGACCTAACGGCGGTGATTGGTTAGCACAACATAATGAGAGAGGACAAACTATGGAATCATTTCAAAAAACTTCATCAAAGGCTATTCCTCATGGAACGTACGTTTAGATATTTATTTATATCATTCGAAATTTGAGTTTTTAAAATATAGTCATAAAACAATCTATATTCAACCGATCGGCAGTTTTAATCATCCAAGGTAAAAATAATTTGATTTTTGTATAATAAATTGTTAAACTGTTATTTTTAGAGCTGCGCCGCTTGATATGATTATTAAATTTGTTAGGATATTTTTTTCTGGATGTGAAGTTGAATTATTACCAACTGTTGATTTTACTAAAGATATGAGAAAACGAGATTTAGGTGGACAACCTCAATATTTAACGGGGGATTTTCATAATTATCTTGTTCAAACACGTTCACAACGTGATCCAAGACGTGAACTTTTATGTGTTGCTGTAACTATGGCTGATATTTATCCTGGAGAAGGTTGGAATTTTGTATATGGACAAGCTCGACCTAATGATGGTGTTGGTGTATATTCATTTGCACGTCTTGATCCATTATTTTATCGAGCAAATTTCGAAGAAATTCTTCGAACTCCATTAACTGAAGCACATCGTATTATCATGTTTCGACGTTGTGTAAAAGTTCTATTACATGAAATTGGTCATCTATTTGGTTTAAAACATTGTATATATTATGTTTGCTTAATGAATGGTGCCAATAATGAAAAGGAAATGGATCGACAACCTTTATATTTATGTCCTGTATGTTTGTGTAAACTTCATTCATCACTTCAATTTGATGTTCAACACTTATATGAAACGTTTGCAGATCAATGTAACAAATACGGACTTGAACCGGAATGTAGCTGGTATCAAAAACGTCTAGAATATATTCACTGAATTGAGAGATATTAAAGCAGTTATAAACAGATGTGAATTAAAACGATAATTACTGTAATATATAATCAAGAAAAAAAAAAGATGTAAACGATTTAATCATTATTAATACAATTAATACAAAAAACGATTATAATTTGTCTTGAGATGTATCGAATTTTAATGAATTCTCTATAGATTCATAGATTCTATGATGATTCTGATAAAATATAAACATAGTTTTTAACAGATGTTAAAAGAGATATGAGGAATGAATGAGGGTGTGGATGTGGGTGAATGTGAGAGTTTAGATGACTCCCTACTCTGCAAAAAATTGTCATCTTGAACCCTTTATGGTTCCAGATTTCGGTACCATTTGCAGAACTTTTTTAGGTTTTAGTAAAAAAATCTAGAACTTAAAATGGTTTTAGCCAGATATACGGAACTTTAACATGTTTTCGAATTTTTTTCTAGAATTTAAAAAAAGGTTCTGAGGATAGTTCACTATGGCACCTTTTTTTACAGAGTAGGCTTCATTCTCACTCATACTTACACCCTCACCCATCACGCCCACACCCAACTATAGTCGTAGTATTTCATTAAACATAATACAAACTCAAATCCATCACATTCAACCACCTGATGATCTTCGTGACGGGAGTGAAATCTAGACAATACTATCTCTTTACACCCACACCCTCAATAAGAACCGCTTTTAATATTAATATGTCTCTTCAAAAAAACACGTTTTATTTCAAAGCAGAACACAATTACATTTACTCTATTCCGTTGAGATTTTTCTCATAAAAATATTGTAAAGTGTTCCTTTTTCCACGCAATTTCTTGTAGAGATTTTTCCCTGCCCGCTCCAATTTGGTTATTGCCAATGTAAAGTATAGTGAGTGTCTGTAAGAAATAAGAAAGCTGAATATGAGAGAAATGCAGAGAGTGGTGTTTCCTCTCACTGTGTTGTTTTGTAAGGCTTCACCAAGAACTTCTGCACCTTTTTCTCCGATTTGATTTCCTGCGAGGTAGAGTTTTGTGAGTGCCTATATGAAACAAGACAGATGGAGTTGAAAGGAATGTAGAGAGTAATGCTTTCTCTCACTGTGTTATGTTGTAAGGCCTCACCAAGAGCTTTTGCACCTTTTTCTCCAATTTGATTTCCTGCGAGGTAGAGTTTTTCTAGTGCCTGTAGGAAATAAGACAGATGAAGATGAGAGAAATGTAGAGAGTAATGCTTTCTCTCACTATGTTATGTTGTAAGGCTTCACCGAGAGCTCGTGCACCTTTATCACCGATTTGATTCCCTTGGATCCAAAGTTCTGTGAGTGCCTATATGAAATAAGACAGATGGAGATGAGAGAAATGTAGAGAGTAATATTTTCTCTCACTGTGTTATGTTGTAAGGCCTCACCAAGAGCTTCTGCACCTTCTTGTCCGATTTGGTTTCCAAAAAGATAGAGTCCTGTAAGCGTCTGCATGAAATAAGAAAGATGAAGATGGGAAAAGTGAAAAGAATGATGTTTTCTCTCACTGTATTGTTTTTTAAGGCTTCACCAAGAGCTTCTGCACCTTTATCTCCAATTTTATTATCATGGAGGTTGAGTTGAGTGAGTGTCTGTATGAGATAAGAAAGATGAAGATGACACAATTGTAGAGAGTAATGTTTTCTCTCACTGGACAGCATGAGCACTGCTATGACTTTTGATTAACTCATTTTCCTATACGTAAAGTATTGTACTTCGATCGAATTAGGCTCCCATTCAATAACTTCTTTCATCCAGAGATTTGTTATCTCGATAAAATAACTACGATTGGTTTTTTTCTTGCTCTATGAGTAAGTTCGATTCTTATGATACTTAATGAATCTCGGTTAGTCTATCTGTTTCTATATTTTGATATGAAGCTATTCGAATGATCGATTAGAAAAAGTTTACCAAGTAGAAATAAGAACCATAGTGACGTAAAAGCTGAAAAATACATTATGAATGCTTCTAGTGGGAGGTTTGATAATAGTATGTTATGGGATAAAATAGACTAGATACCAGTTCTCTTCTCTTCCTTCACACGTATAAAATAATCTTGTCAGTACTCAATGTATTATTTTGTAAAAGATAATAAGCCACAATATCCATGTCATCATCCGTCAAATGTTTACCAGATAAATCTACAATGGTTTTATCTTTTTCCTGAGCAATTATTTCTTCAAGTTGTTGATTTTTATGTGTTGGCGGCTCTGATAAAGCAGTCATTGTTGTCTTTGATTCTAAATAAATAAATGCGAGAAATCATATTCAATAGTAGAACTGTATGAATAAATAGAAATTCTATATTTCGTTGGTAAATTGAACCATTTATCCAAGTGTGTTTCGAAAACTCGACTACTTCTAAAGCATATCAAAAATACGTCAGTCGAAAAAAATTAATTTCTTTTCTTCTACTGAATTTATTCCTTTTTTCATATATGGATTATTTTATTGGATCTGGTTTAGTATCAAGAAAAAGGAATTGTTAATGATAGTTTATTCCATCGCGTATGTTTGATTAATAAAATAGCATAAATCTCTTCCACTCTCTCTAATACTTTTATATACAAACCAATTGTGGAATAATTTATAGATATATTGTCAAGGTATCTATGTCTAACTGTTTTTACATATAATTAATGAAAATATCAGATTGTTTGACATAACTTAACTATTTTCCAAAATATGTTATTTTTATCATTCCACATCCTAGTTGAATGTTGATGATAATATTTTCCATCGATTACCAGGGTGTGGATATGAGATAAAGAGATTATCCAAATCTCACATCCTCAGCTCTTCATTAATATTTTAATCACAAGATATTGACGAATTGCTCAAAGATGAAGTTCGTACTGTACTGAGATGTGCATTGACACTAGAATCATGCACAGGTACAAGTTTTGAGGGTGTGGCTATGGATGTGCGTGTGTAATAGTGTCTCTTCTTTTAACTCACACTCACACCCACACCCTTACTCAGCTATCGCCCTTCCCTTCTAAAATCCTAGATACGCCAATGGTGAAGAAAAATAATTGAAAAAAAATCAGTTGTTGTGTTTATTTTATCCAAGAGAATGAAACAAAAGTGCTGTGTGTATATTGGCTTACTAGAGATAGTCTTATTTTAGTGATTTCCTACTCCAGAATATGATCAGACTGTTCACATATGATCCACAATTGCTAAATGGTCATTCGTAACACAGTTACTATGAGGATTCTGTCCAAGTTACTGACAAAGAACAGGGAAACTTAGATGAATTTCAATTGTTTGACCCTATTCTTCTAGTCTATAAGAAATCTAAATAAGATAAATGATATATTCCTACTTAAAATGCTTTGTTTCGACGGAATAATGTCACAATAATAAAGCTTCACTTTGATCGTTTTTTTTGTTTGTTTGAATAGAGAGATCGAAATAGAAAATAAATGCAAACGAACAAATCTCAACGGCGTCTTTAGTAAGGAGAATTTTGTGTCAACATATTTTTTTTCTCTCGCGACTCCTTCTTCAGTAGAATTAGCGAAAGAATAAAAAAATGACGAAAAAGAAAAACGAATGAGAAAGTATGACGCGAATAGCATATATAAGTGTTATGTTGCCAATCTATCGAATCCTTCATCACAGTCACCGTTTCAATTCAAAGTTTTTTAGTGTGTGTGTGTGTGGCTGTGGATGCATTGTATTGCTATAATGAAGAGAACACCCACACCAATCCTCAGGATGGTAAATAATCATAGTTGGCAAGAAGATTTAAACCAGAACAAAGACCTAGGATAAAATATTTTTCAAAATATTAAGCTGATTTCTTTCATTTTTACCTCGTTGATCAGGAAAATTAGCAGTAATATTCGATTCTTTGTAATAAAATCCTGGTTCTGATCGAATTTGTTCACCAAGTGCTAGTAAAGGCGCTTCGACGTTGAAGAAAACTAAATCAAGAATATCACTAGCAGTATCAGTCACGGAATTAACGTGATTGCCAGATCGAGCAAAAAGACAGCCAGTCGATAATTTACCTTGAATGAGAAAAAAAACGAATGAATTTGTAAAAGAAATCGTTTGTTTGTATTGAAATGTTAACGATGATATTGCTCATATTATAAAAACATACAAATTCTACTAACCTAATTTTAAATGCACTTGCATATTGAATATACAGGATAAGATAAATAACAATTATTGCTCGTCTTATCTGTCGATCAAACAGTATCATTATAAAATTTAATATTTATCATTTGGGAAAGTATGAGATTAATTTACTTTTCTACTTGCTTATATAATTGATTATAGCTCCATAATAATACGTAATACATTTGATTAATCTTAGTGCGTCATATCGAATGGGTATGTATCTACTTATTCACCCAGGTAAACTAATACATCCTTTTATTTTTATTCGTGCTTATGAACTCATTCTAGTTAATAGCTTTGATGATATAAAAAAGAATAAGAACATGTTTTTGAATGCAAAGCAGCTGTACATCAATATTATATTAATGTACTAATTTTTGTTGAAACTATCAAGTACTTTACAATACATCTGATGTAGATTTCCAAGCATCTACGAAATGCTCAAATAGAAAAAAATTATTACAAATTAATTATTGATTACTATTATTTAAACTGATCTGAACTAATATAAAAATTTAACAAAAAAAAACAAAAAGATTAAATAAAACAATCAATGACATATAATGCGATTCAGTTCAACCAGAACCAAAAAATATTTCAATCAAAAACTATCCTTGATTGATCTAAATTAACAAAAAAAATTCAAGATTCTAATAGAATTAATTACTAGTTGTTGTTAATTGTTGATCCTTCATCAATCTTATTTGAAAATTTATATGAATTTAATGATAGTGATGATGGTGCAGCTGAATTTTAAACCTAGTAAAGATTTATCTCGTTTTTTTTATATAATACTCACAAGTTTCTAATCGTTCAATAGATTGTTTAATTGTTCCAGCAAATGCAATTATATATTGATATTGTACTTGTTTTATAAGTGCTTGGATATGAATAGCAACAAGATCCATTATAACTAACTCTTTATGACTAGAAATTATAGATATACATTTTCCTATATTATGAAAAAATTTTAAAAAACAAACTTACCGTATTGTAAAACGATATCTTTGCGGAGTTAATTCATCAATAACAATTGAACAATTAAATGTCTTTTCTATCTGTTTGATATTATAATTCTACGTAAAACATAGTTTTATATTGATTATTTTTTAATAGATTTAGCATACTTGTTCACCTAATAATACTAGTTCGAAAGAGAATACATCAGTAGAAAGAGAATTAAATAAAGAAGCAAAAACAAATAATTGATGATTATTAATCTAGAAGATTTAAAAATTGAATTAAAATTCCTCAGAAATAATAATTAATTACATCAAAAACAGATTCATTATAACGTTTAAATAATACTAAATCATGACGAATTCGAGTAGAAATTTCTATTTAAAAAAAGGTCTTATAAAACATGATTATTACTGATAGATAACATACTATCAATTTGTTTATTATCTTTTTCATATTGAGATTGAATAATCAATTGAAGTCTTGGTTCATCATCTTCATTACACATTGGTTTGAATTCTTTTGGAACATATTTTCCATTACTTGTAATTGAAATATTTGATCCTTTTTTTAACTATAAAAATATTATACTCTATAAATTTATATTTCTTTTTTTTCATCTATTTAAATCTACTTGTTGCCAATATTCTACTTGAGTGGCTGCTACACATACTTCATGTGATAAATCACCAAGGGATATTATCACTTGTTTACCAGTATTAGTCGACTCAACAGAACTAGCCATTCTAGATAGTGCAAAAATTCTCTTGTACAAGGAAATATGTACATGATCATACATATATATATATATACACGAACATATATGATCGCCTATAGAATAGCAAAGGTTATTGTATAGAAAAAAACATAATACATTTATGCTTATCACCATTCGTTGTCCAAAATACTTCAATATCGGTCGTTCTATTGATGAATATCCATCGGTCAAAATATTTATTGTTCTCAGTCCTGTAAGGATGAGTCGAGAACACGAAAATTCGTTTGTTTGTCCGATGTCTTATTGGTCAGTTTTCTGAAGTAATTACATTTCACCATTATAAAATCAATCAGTAAATTTCTATATAGGTATAATCATCGCTTGGCTGAATTACTAGTAGGAATATAGACCTTGATATTGGGTGAAATTACGGGTGGGGTTATAGCAAAATGTGGATGTATACTCCTTTCGCACCCACACCAACCTTAAAATAATTCAAGTATTTTAAAGTATAAAAAGATAAGTAAATAAAAGAATCGATGAAAAATGAATCATCTGGAATTGCTATTATTAAGATCTATCTAACATATTACAAACATGATATACAATATGGTTTGACGTTGATTGATTTACTAGGTATTACTCAGAATTCACTATCTGACTACGCAAAAGATACTCGTACTCAAATTTTAAGTTTTAATAATTTTTTCGTTCATTTTTGTATTTTTCATAAGAAAAAAAATCAAATAAAAATATTTTAATATTATCACATTTTAAATTTAACCATATGTCAATCAACGGAGGTGTGAATCTGCAATTCAATAGCATGTAAAATTGTATCGAATTAGAATTCAGAGAGATGTAAAAGACTAGAAATACATTGAATGTTATATTATGATTTGAAAAATCATCAATCTGTATTGTATAATATATTTTTACTGAACAATCGATTTTATAGTAAGATAACAACAGGAGCTACATATATGTTATCATTGCGTGCTTGAAATATATTTATAAATACTAAAATTAACATAAGCAAACAAAGAAAAATATTAAAAATTGATATAAAGAAGTCATTTTTCTATACATCGAAGATGTTATCAAGAGACAATCGAAAATGTGATGATTATTCATAACAAATAGCTGTCAAGGTTCAAGGTTTGTTTTTTTATTTTTACGATACCCAAAGCAATCATGCTGAAAGAGGAAAGAAAAAAAAAGAAAAGAGAACAACTAAACGCCATTTTTTTTCTCTAACATACGAGAGAAACGACGATTGCTTAAAAGAATACGAAGAAAACAACACACCATAAAAAAAAAACAAGAAAAAAGAATGTCTGATCTTTTACCTCATATGTGTATGCATCGTTTCTCGTACTCGCCTATTCAAACGAGGAGAACAACAACACTGAGTTTATGTTTAAGCTCATAAACACTCTCAGAATCATTGATAAGAAGACCTTGTTACAATAAAACAATTTCTTACTGCAAAATTTTCCATTATTAAAAGCAAAATGGCGATTAATATTTCATTTTGGATCATTAATGGTTTGACAATAATTCTTCTAGTCAGTCCATTATTTCTTATTATGTCATATTTACTTGTGATCTTTATTATATTTCTCATTCCATTAAAATTATTTTTTCTCTATTGTTATTTTTCATTGCCACGATCTCAAAGTTCTATTAATCAATTTGAAAATATATCCATTGCACATCGTGGTGGTCGTCCATCAGTTTTAACAGATGAAAAAGATGATTTTCCTGAAAATACACTCGCTGCTTATCGATGGGCATCAAACACGCATGGAGTTCATGGTATTGAATTAGATGTATGGTTAAGTCGTGATCATATTCCAATGGTTAATCATGATGGTTATTTAGAACATACATTTGCTGAATGTTCACAATTTATATCATCATTAACATGTGATGAATTAAAAAAATTAAAATATTTAAAAAAAAATAAACGTGATATATATGATCATATTGGATGTGAAACAATTCCAACTTTAGAAGAAGTTATTCTTTTTTTAGAACCAACAAAACTTAAATTAAGTAAATATTTTCAAATATAAAACTTAAGAAAAATTATTTTATTTTTAGTGATTGAAATTAAAGAAATACATAAAAAACGTGAAATGGCAAAAATTATCGATGAACTCTTTCGAAAATATCCATTTTTATATGAACGTGCATATTGTGCAGCATTTCATCCATATAATTTATATTGTATTCGTCGTCTTAATTCACGTATAACAACCGCATATTTATTTGTACCAAATATAACCAAATTTATAGTTTATATGGCTAATCAAACTCGACGACCTTTATCAAAATATTTTATTGAAAATGTTATACTTCGATGGATAATTGATTCAACATTTATGTGGTTTGGTACACCAACTGGTTTGAAATTTTTAGGAGCTGATTTAGCTTGTATTGAACATCATCATATTTCACAAGATCTTTTAGATAAATATAAAAAAGAACAAATTATTGTATGTGCATGGAATGTTAATGAATCTGAACAATGTCAATGGTTAAGAGCAAATAGTGTTACTATTATTACAGATACACTTTTTAATACAAATCAGAAATAATATATTATTATTAAAAATTTATCTTTAACATTTCGTCTAAATTATCATGGAAGTTTGTTTTCTTTTATGAAAATCTCGCCGTTATTTTATTTTATTTTACTTTTATATTTTGTTTATAAAAATTTTTAAAATCTCTAATGTGAAAATAAAAATTCAATGAATTATACTAATAATCTATCATTAAGACTAATGAAACTAGATTCTAATAAATTTCAGTAGATATTTTCGAATTTGATAATTGTTTATAATCGATATCTGTTTATAAGCACGTGTATATTCATTTTTTACATTATTTTTGCCCTTCTCACCTGTATCCTCTGCACTATGAGTCAATGCACTATATTTCTGATTCGATTAGGCTGGACGTGCAGGATAAGTATTACTATCACATGATTTAGTAAATTATATAATGTGATGTTTTTATCTGTCTGAAAAAAAGAAGCAATTTATAAATTAGAACTATTTATATAAAAACTATAAATTAAACAATCAGCCTTTGTTTGGTGATTGATACAGAAATGAACATTTTTGAAATCTTCTTTAAAATAGAGAACTAAAATTAATCTTTAATCTAAATACATATATCATAAAAAAATGTTGCTGTTTATCTCTAATTATTACGAGACATGTTTATAATTTAAAAACATAAAAAATATACCGTTCTTTTTTTTCTCGTCTGTCATTAATCTTGTGTTTTTGAGGCTATCAGTTTAAAAATTCTACCCAATAACCCATTTTTTTCTGCACGCATGATTTGCGATTAGTTTATATAGCAGAGTTACCTGTACAATTCGTAAACGAATAGCCACAAATATGTTACTCATTGTTACCATTAGTTGCCTTTCTTGCTTATTTATTATAAGTATATATTTATTAACTTTTTCTCCATATCGTATACGTAATTGGCGTGGATTCCTGTTATTACTGTTTGCATTTACACTTCATTCAATATATGTTTATGCGTTACCATTATCTCAATTATATCTTTTATATTTTCTTATATTTATTGATGTTAACTCGTTCGACTGTTTCTATCATTCAGTAATTATATTTTATTGTATTAGCGAATCATTTTTCTTTTTCTTTACTGTTGAAGAAGCAAGATTATTAGATAAACGCCCATTACCTAAACAACCACCATTACCTGATGATTATGATATCAAATTTATTGATAACATTTTAAATGCTTACGAAGAATCAAAAGATGATTTTCGAGTTTGTTTTGCTGGTTGGTTTGAAGGTCTTGAAAATTCTTCATATGATTTAATCTATGAAGAAAATATTTTACAATATTTAACTATGGCAACATATCGTGTTAAATATTGGCATGAGATGACCAATAAACAACAACATCATATAAAAGCATTATATAATCGATTTTTT